TGCTGGGGGCGGTGAGGGCGGTGGGGTCGCGTGGTGGGCCCGGTGGCGCCAAGCCAAAACTACCCAAGAGTGGCGGGGGTGGTGAAGGTGGTGAAGGCCCGGTGGCGCCAAACCAAAACTACCCAAGAGACGGAAAACCTCTCGGGATATCACTGGCGCCGCCCGAGGGGGTCGGCGGATAACAGGAAGACCTAAGGAAAGAAACGGGAACCGGGTGCGGCCTGACTTGGCTTGGCTCGTCTCGGCTTTGGCTTGGGTTGGCGCTTGGCTTGCCTTGTCTTGGCTGCGGCCGCCCGCCCTCCCCGCTCCACCCCCAAACCCTTGTTTTGTTCAATATGTTTTTCACCGTGCACGCTTGCTTTAAAGAAAACACTGGTCGCGCAAGCATTATGTTCACCATTCAGGGGAGCGCACGCTTGATTGCTTTTGTCAAGAACACCAGACTGCTACCCTTACGACCAGTACGACTACGACGACTATTGCGGCGACTACTGCTATGTTTACTCGGACTACTACTGGGAGTACGGCGACTATTGCGACGGCACTACGATTCATTGTGGCAACGACGACAGCATACGAGTCCCTTCCAAACCCATGCTGCGAGCATTGCGTTTGCAAAGGGGGGGGCTGCGCCCCCAACCCCCTCCCGTCTTTTTTTAAAGCCGGGCAAAGCTTACTTCAAAGCATACGAGTCCCTTCCAAACCCATGATGCGAGCATTGCGTTTGCAAATGCATGGGGGGGCTGCCCCACCCAGCCCCCTCGCTTTATTTATTTTTTGTTGATCCCTCACCCCCAGCGCCACCACCGCCTCCGCGTCCACCTCAACATCCAGCGCGACCGTGACTATTTCTTGCTTCTTATGTTTGCTGCCGCTGCAAGCCCCCGCAGCCAAGGCAGAGGCGGGCTTTGCGGCGAGAAGACGATCTTTGGGGCAGCTTCCTCACAGGCGCATTGCTTCGTGAGTGGAAGTACAGGCTTGGCTGCAGTGGCAAAGAGCCACCTTGCCCCCAGGTTTTCTATTGACTGCCGTGCCTCGCCAGCAAGGCAAGAGGATCAGTTCCCGTTTCTCCAGGGTGTTATGACTTCATGCAAGTTGCATGTATAGCATGCTTTTGCTGCTGCCATTGCATCTAAGGCTCCTGCAGCTGTGGTGACGGTGTTATGGTTTGCCGCTCGCCTGTCCGTAGAATCAAGCGTGGACCCGGTGGGACAATCGATCGCCAACATTGGCTTTTGGCCAATTATAGAAGAGACGTTTGAATTGTACATGTTCCCAAAAACTGGGACATTGGTGAATCCATGTACATGTATACACCTCAGAATTGGGGGTGTCGGGCTCGGGGTTCAGAGTCAGGTACTTCTCTTATACACGCGCGAAGTGAGATGAAACTCAGAGGCAGGCCCTCGCCTTGCTCCTTCACTCAGGCATCTCAGTGTCGAAGTCCAACGGGCTCTTTAAGAGCAATTGACAAGCCAAGCTAAGCTTCCGAAGCACCTTTCCTGGTAGCTTGCACTTCCGCGAGCACCACTTGCAGTCACGGCTTTCACGATCGGTGGGACCCAGAACCGTCCAGTAAGCAGACTGGGCATCAGAGTCTTAACTTTGCGCGGAAGGTGAAGTGCTTCTTCGACATCTGCCGCAAAGAGCCATCTGTCAAGAAGCGAGCATAGCCTGAGGCCCAAAGTTGGCCAAGCTCCGGCCGAACTCCGGCCGAGGCCGCCAGGGAAAAATGGCCCTGAGGCTCTGAGTGCAGTGGCAGAGCTCCTGCGCCTCTCCTGTGCCTTCAGCTGGTTGTATCGCGCCAGGTTTTGGCTCTGCACTCAAAGCGCAGACATGACGTAGGCACGTAAACTAATTCCTTGAGGTCAAGCTTCAGTCGTCGAGCCATCCAAAGTGCTTTACCGCTAGTGCATGTCCTATACGATGCCAAACCATATTACAAGTTCAGTGGGATTTTGGGCGTGTCGAATCATGACCTGGCTCATCGAGCACACGCAGTTGGACCCTGTCAAACCTGTCTACATCTCAGATCGTGCACAGAAGTGTTGGTTGCTCGAAAGACTTTCCAGCACCGTGAAAGGTGGAGAAAGTGGGCACCAGCGGTGTGCTGGTGGCAGATCTGCCAGAACTAGGCGCCCCTCAAAAGTGCCGGTGAGGGCAAGCCGTGCCTTCACAAAATGTGGCAGAAATGGCTTCGCTGCGCAGGTGGAGCTGCAGCCGTCGCCAGCCGTGACTTCCAGGCATCATTGACGGGCATAGCAAGCTGGGCAAGGGACTATGGTCGAATCGTGATCAGCAGCCGCAAATGTACATTGCAGCTGGTTGTTGGCTGCAGGCAGGCGAGCGCGTCTTCGAAGAGCCTGTGCTCGTCGTGGCGCCCGATGCCGAGTCGTGACTGCAGTAAGCCGGAGCAGACCAGGTTGTGCCCTTTGACCAAAGGCCGTCAGCAACAAACTTGGCACGCGTGCACCTAATTTTCCGGAGATGATAGAGCGTGTCGTTTAGGCAACTCCCAACCTTTGCAAGTACAGGTGTTCGTGCATACTGCGACCTGGCCGCAGAAAAGCGACGGCTTCTGCGCGAAGATTTCTTCGGGGAGGACGCCTTGGGCTAAAACATCGGCCACTATTGGGGCGTTCGTCAAAAAATGTCACGAGATCGTTGGTTTTTACTTGCTGTATCCGGGCACAGATGATCAATTTGGAATTGGATGTTGACTGATTGCAGGCACCGCCTGTTCGCGAGGGGCTTGGAATGGCTTCGGTGAATTTAGGCCCGTTGAGTGCATGGTGCCCAGGCTGTGCAGCAACCGCAGCCTGCAGTGGCGAGGCTGTACCGTCGAACCTTCCAGAAGTGACACAGAATGCTCCCCCAACGCTCGGAGGTCTCGGGAGACTCAGCTGCCGAGGCGCGTTGGGGGCTGACAGGGGCTGACCCTCGGAAGGAGCACCTGACTCTTGTAGGTGCTCGCGATTCTGAGGGCGGAGGGACAGGATGACCTTGACCTAGCCGAGGTTGAGGTGCGACGGTTCGTAGTCGGTGTTGCCAGAGGGTTGTGGGCACTGGCTGGCAGGAAGTCATTCGCGTGTGGAACTTGAACGCCTACGACAATGCATTGGCACCTGTGGCCTGCAAGGTGAGGGTCCCAGGGCAGAGAGTGCCGGGTGCAGTCGACTCAAGCAGGTTTCGCACTCGTGTGCACCAAACCTCACCATACGCTCAGCCCTTGGATCTATGTTTGCGTGCTTGGTCACGGTACCTGCCCTAGCCATGAGGCGTTGATGCTATCGAAGGCATCATTGAGGGAACAGCTTGCCGGCAAATCGTCGCTGGCGAGGCTCTAGGCAAGATGCTTTGCTGTCGGCTGGTGTTTTGCTTTGGGCCACCGCGAGGCGTCGCCTTAAGGAAGCCTTCCTGATGGCAATCTGCAGTTTTTTGGTTCTAAAGTGGAAGACGGAGCTTAGGAAGCCTAGGTTCCTGCAATGGTCCTTGCAGCATGGACAGGCGTGGGAGTTCAAGGAGCCCCGGAAGCTTTGGTATGGGGGCTTCTGCGCAAGCACTGCTTCGAGCCGCGACGTCGTCAATATCAACGCGGGGCCGACGCTCGGAATGGCAGTGGGGCATTGCAGACCTTGCCAAGCTCCAACAGCAAGGACTCCAGGCAGATGAAGCTGCTCGGCTTCCGAAACCAGCAGAGCAGAATGGGAAAGAGAGAGCGCGATCGCGCCCTTCCCCCCAGGGCGAAAGGGAGATAGAGAGAGAGAGAGAGAGACAGACCAGGGCGGTGTTTGTGCGCAAGAGGTAGGACAGTCCTCATACCCTTTTGTCTGTGGTGAAGAAGAGAGAGACAGCTGGGCTGTCGACCTTGTGCAGTACAGTACCTTCGCTGGCCGTTGTTGTCATGAGGCTAGGCATACACTAATGCGAATGTTGGCAATGCAGAGTTGCGACGTTGATTCAAAGCTGGGGGAACAGTCCCACGAGGAAACAGAAACACAAGTCTCGCACCTCCCTCCGCTTCTCGGAGCCGCACTCCTCGAAATGTGTTTGGAAGAGGCACCAGTGGTGTTCGGAGCTTCGGCCGAGTCGGGAGGTCTTGAGGAGAACATGGCCTCGGTGACCCAGGGTTTAGGACCTGCACGTAGCTTCAGATGCCGCTAATCGGCGGATGCGAAAGCTGGCTCAGCAATCAAGCTGCTAGGGCTGCTTGCTCCAACTCCGGCCGAGGTGGAAACCTGTTGCAAAAAGGGATTGCAGGCAGATCGTAGTCTGGCGAGACTTGAGTCCATGGGGGATGCCAGCAGCCAAACACTCCCAGCCTGACAGACCGACGGGGCTACAAGCTACAACTGGACCCCAAAGCCCTTTCCCTGACGACACGAAGCTGGGTGGCTAGGCGCTGGTCAGCTAGTCTGACCTGACCCAGTCAAAGCAAAGAAGGAGAGGGAGCCTGAAATGGGGGAGCGCCGAAGCGGGGTACGCAGGCCCTCAACCCCCGAAGCAAGGCAAAGGCCTCAAAGCACCGCTGGCAGTGCCAAATGAGAAAGTCGTCAAGGCCTTCGGCTAGTGGACACAGTCTTTGTCTAGGTTGTACTTCGTTCAGCCGTATGCGTCTCCCTTCAATTCTGATCTTCCGATGTGGTTTGCTTCCGATTTACTCCAAGAGAAACACAACGGGAAAGTGCAGTGATCTGGGGCACTTCAGAGAGAGGGCATCCTGCCCGGTTATTGCTGGGGCGATGAAGGGATAAGTGGAAACTTCAGCACTGTTAGTTTCGGCGGTTCTCGGTACAGTCCTGGGCAGTCCATTCCCCCGAAGTGCTGTTCGTTTTAGCGCGACATGCTGGCTTTGCTGTGGTGATGAAGAAAGACAATTCATATGAAATCGAAGCCAAGGCGGTCTTCAATGCAGCAATCTCTGCACTTGGCCGGGGTAGTAAGTGGCTTCGCGCCCTTCAGCTGGCCAAAGTGATGCCTGGACAGGATATAGAGCCTGGCATTGTGACCAGCAATGCGCTGTGCAGTGCCTGCAGGAGGCAATCTGCGTGGATCAAAGCTACCAGCCTTCTGCAGGAAGCTCTCGGGCTCAACCTCAAGCTTGGCGCCGTATTTTTAGGAACCAGTGCAGCATTTCTGGAAAGGGGCAAGCAGTGGACACTGTGCCTGAACCTCTTGCTGAGCTTCTGCACCCGGGATGTTGCTTTAGAGACAATTACATGCAATTCGGCCTTCAGTTCCTGCGAGAAGTCTGGCCAGTGGCCAGCTGCACTAAGCCTCATGACTTCAACTTGCCACATCAGGATTTTATTGGATGTCATATCTTGGAGCGCCGCCATTAGTGCCTGTGAGAAGGCAGGGCAATGGCTGCAGGCCCTCTCCTTGTTTCGGATTGTTCAGGCAAGTTTGAGCCCCAACTCCTTCACACACTCTGCAATTCTCAGCTCGTGTGAGAAGGCTTCACGATGGCAGCAGGCTAGCCAACTCTTGCATGTGCAGAAGTTTTCCCTTGGGCGATTCGAGACCCTTCACTGTAACTCCGTTCTCAGCTCTTGCAGGACGGGCAGCTCGTGGAGAGTTGCCCTTGTTTTCCTCCAGGATCTGAGCACTCTCTCTGGCCTGAGAGCGAATAGCATCTCCTTTAATTCAGTTTTCCGGTCACTGCTAGCCGATGAAGGCTTGAATCGTTGGCATCATGGCCAGCTTCTGATGCAACGGCTTCTCGCTCACGGCATGCAGGTGTCCATCATCACTGGGAACACACTGATGTCTTTGTACGACAAAGCAAGGCAGTGGAGCCACGCGCAAGATCTTCTTGCTCACCAGCTGTCCCTCTATGGCTTGCTGGTGGATATCATGACTTACAACGGAGCACTGAGTGCCTTCGAGAAGGGTAGTCAGTGGCCTCGGGCGCAATGGCAGCTGACGTGCATGTTGAAATATGGTCCCCAACCTCAGATTGTGACCCTTGGCGGATCCATTGCTGCCTTGGGTGCTGCCCAGCTTTGGGAGCACTCCCTGTTACGTTTTGGTAGCATGGGTGAATTCAGATTGAAGGCCAATAGCGTAGCATTCGGTGCTGTACTAAACGCCTGTGACAGAGGGCAGAGCTGGAAAGCTGCATTGGCCTTGGTACTCGCTGCGAGCCGTGATACGGCAGAACTAGGTGCTGTGGAGTTCAACTCTGCGATCACTGCTTGCAGCTCCAGCCATGTCACGGATCATGCGCTCGCATGTGCCCGAGAGATGCTGCTTCGCAGGGTGATGCCGGACCAAGTGACCTGCAATGCCTTGCTCGCACTCTATGGACGCGCGGGCATGTGGAACGAGGCTATCTGCCTATTAAGGAAGACGCCCGTGCCGGGTCTGACATCGCCGCCGCTCGCACCGGACGTGCTGAGCTACAGTGCAGCTCTTGCTGCGTGTGCGAAGGGCTGTCGGCCATACGAAGCAGAAGGTCTCTTGACGACCGCGAAGTCTTCACGCATAGCCTTGGACTTGCAGGCAATCAGCAATGCAGTATCTTCCTTTCGGCAGGCCAGCCTCTGGCAGCAAGCTTTGGGCTTGGCGCTGGCCATGGACTCTATGGATGCGGTTCTCTTGGAGTTGGCTTCGGGCGCAGCGGAAGTTGGAGGTTGTCCCACTTCCGCCGTCGAGCTTTTGCATGCGGCGGCTTCGACTGCCCATCTCGGGATTCGTGATGCTAGATGCTAGGTTAGGCAGCTGCTCTTAAAATTACAGCCCAATGGCTGACCAGACCGCTGTCGTACAAAGGTGCTGTTTCCTGCTTCGCTACACACATCAATCAAAAAAGACTTCGCTCTGACTCACACTTTGCGACTCGGATCTCTGGTTGTGCCCATGTCCAGCGCCATTCCTGCAGAGGCAGCTGGTACATTCAAGACACTGGCGTCTGGCGCCGTCCTGGATGTTTCAGAGAGATGTGGGGAATTGGGAATTGTGAATAAGCACCCTTCTCCGGCATCTTCTGAGGTGGATGGGTGCGGACATACGCAGGAATTTCCTCAAGCAAGACCGTGGCTTCAGCTGCCTTTGCACTCGCTGTCAGAGCTTCGCGCTCGGACATGTTTTAGCCCATGACAGTCTCCTCCACCTCTCTCTATAAATGAAGCGGGCAAGAGTGGGTAATTCCTAAGAGGGACTCTGCGCAATGCATCTGATTGCGGAAGTCATCGTAGCCTGCAGGGTTTGTTCTGCGAAGGAGAATCCCAGGAGAATCCCCCGTGTAGCCTGGGCCTGTTCGTTTTTGTCGGAGCGTACATAGCCTTTTCTGTTCCCATGTTGGAACCGCGACTTGCCACACAATGCTGGCAGACTTCCTCTAGCCCCTTTTTCTGTCGTCTCGCTGTTGCCAGCTGAACAACAAAGAGCAGCGACGGAGTGGTCCAGGGCATCATAATCAGCTGTTCAGCTTCAATCTGGTGACAAAAGTTTGCATTCATCTCGCTGAGAGCTCCACCAGCTAATCTTCATTTGCACGAAGCCATGGCCGACGTACGCTACGGAGGCACCCAGAGCCATTCGCGGCGCCTCTGCACACTGAAGATCTTTGGCACATCGGAAGTACTGCAAATCCCCATCGAGGTCACAACCAAAGTCTTGGCAGTTCGCCAGCTTGTGTCTTCGAGATTTGGTCTGGAGCCGGAGAGCCTCACCTTCGTTGTGAAGGCTGCCTCCAGCACCAGGGTGCTGCGAGACCCGGACGAGATCCCCTCACAGGCCTTAGGTTTCACTCTTGATCCCTGTTCAGACGCTCGTCAGGGCTTGCAGTCGGGGGATGGCAGATGTTGTAAGCAAGCATGGGGCAGCTTCAGTTCTTCAAATAGACGGCCAACAGGGGAGGCCCAATTTGCAGGTGATCGTTCGAGGGCCTCTCAATTCCTGGCAGAAGCAGAAGACGGTTTACCCGCACCCGCACTGCATCATCGGCACAGGGCACGGGGGCCTGAAGCAGGGTCTTGCTTTCCTCAAGGATGCTGCAGAGCTTGCACAGTTTCGCGGGCTTTGGGGAATCATATTTGCGCAGAGTTTTGGGTCAGTAAACGGGCCAGGATGGGGATTGCGAGTGAATCCCTGGAGGACGGAATTCAAGATTTTGTCATTTACGACAAGCTTGGGCGCATCGGAGGTGCTGCCTGGGTTATCAATGCAAACCCTACCTCGAAGCTTCAGACGGAACTGGGAGTGTACCATCTGCAGTATGACCCGGACTGTCTGGTGCCAAAGGCCTTGCGAGGGTTGCCTCACAATAAACTCATTTTAGAGCGAGGCACCGGGGCGGGGGGGTTCGGTGCGTGAGGACATGAAGACCTGGCCGACTCGCGATGATTTGCTGGACCACTTCGAGCGTGTCTGCAGGGATTTCGGTCTGCTCGGCCACATTCACCTGAACACGGAAGTCACCCGTATCGACCGCATCAACCTGAAGATGCTGGAGCCGGAGGCATCGCCACGCAAGTATGTCTACAAAGTTTCACTCAAGAGGCCCGTCTTGAAAAAAGCAGACCCAGTATCTCGCGGAGAGGAAGGCGAGGCTTCAGCAAAGGCCCCGGCCGTCGGGGATCCGTTGGGCCTGGGCTTTGATGAGCCGGAGTTGGAGGAGCCCCCCGATCCCGAGGAAATTCAGCCGCCTGAAGATGAAGATATCCAGATCCTGGATTTCTCCACCATAGAGTGTTATCCTGGAGGTCTCACCGACAACCTACGCATGGAGTTCAGAGGTGAGGACATCTTTGAGGGGAACATAGGGTATGGTATGTTTGACGAGTTTGACTACACGTCGGTCACAAACTCGGCGGTCGCGATTTTTGGAATGGGTGCCTTTGGCGTAGAGAATGTCAGAACCTGTCTGGAGCATGGTGCCTCGAAAGTCACGATTATCTGCAGAAGGAGAAACATCGCAATTCCGAGGGTTGTAGACTGGTTCATAAACCAAAGCCTTTACCCACCTCCGGCTGCGATGGTGCTGGACGCCATGAAGCCGATGTATAATTTTCTGGACCTGAATGTTTGGGATTTTTATGCCGTGCAGGCGAATTCTGACCGAACGACCGCAACGATCCGACAAAAGTCTCGGTTTGGAATTGGCGACTTCTATTTTCTCGCGACGTGCTACGGAAAAGCTGAGACGGTCGTCGGCGAAATCAAGCGCCTTCGTGCGAACGATATTCTTATGGAGACATCGGAAAGTGTTGCAGCTGAGCATTTCATCAAAGTCCTGGGCTTCAAAGCGGACCCGAAGATAGACAAACTCTTCGGTACGAGGGTGGCCTGGCTCGGTTTAAGGTTTGTCCTGGTGGTCTGTCGATAGGCATGTTGGTGATGCTTCGGCCTCAGGAAATGGTGGGTTTCTTCCCGAACGGGGATTGGAGAACATGGGTCTGCTGCGAGTTTCCTGGCATCGATGCCGGACGCTTTGGGGGCACATCGCTGTCGCCCGCCGCAATAACTAACGCTGAGACCAGGTTGCACATATTCTGGCCTACCCTTGCATTTACTTGGCTCTGCAGGTTCTGAATTGCTGTGGAGCTTGCGCCCTGTAGGCCGGTAGGGTTATGCTGCGTTGGGCCGCCGCAATGTAATTATGTATGTAATTATGTATATTACGTTACGGGACATGGTGACCCTGGCGACAGCTAAGGAGATGATGAAGTGGTGCATCAACTATCCACGCGAGATGCTAGCGTTGCTGGATGCTAACGTCCTGCCCCGTCAGAAAGCAGACAGCAAAACAGGACGGCCAGCCTACCAGTATGAGCCGCGAGCAGGAGGCTTGGGGAAGTCAACTTAGTGGTAGAAGGGGCATGTGTTACTCCAGCTTTTTCGGGTGTTCCTTGCCCCCCTTTTCCAGCCCAAATCTCGATGGTCACCATCGGGAGCCTCCCTGGCCTGGCGGAACTGCCCGAGAATGGGGCTCTGCTGAAAAGGCCGGGAGCTCTGAGATTTGTTGTACTGCCTTGATCCATGGCAAGCTTCGTCCGTACAGCACTGTTCACGTAATTACCGAAAGAAATCGAACCAAACGTACAGCCACCTGCAGTGAGCGATGAGTGGCGCAGGCAGAAGATGCTGACAGCACATCCCATGGAAGGCGCTCTTGTGCTGAACCATAGCGGCACATCTCCTCTTTGCCGCTGCATGTTGCCATTCTAACGGACCCGGAAAGTAGTTTCCTTGGGCACTGGCACGGAACTAAGCTTAGTGGTGAGTCAGCAACAGCAACGACTGTGGCCTGATGAATTTACAATTCTTGCTTCCTTGCGTTGTTTTGTTTACTTTTGTTCTGTTGTTGCTGCTTTCCTTCGGCTGCCATTGTTGAGTTGGTGCTCATTGTATTTACTTTACTGTGCTTCAGTTCTTGCCCGGGCTGCAGATGTATGGTCGGACTGGGCGCCCACACCCGATGCTTAGCAGGTTAAAGCTTGGTTCGTCGGAACTCAGACTCAACCTTCCTTCAAGCGGGCCGTGGAGCATGGAGCCTAAACCTCAACTGAACCGGACGTCTCTAAACTGCCCTTGTAGCCGAGTTCAATACCAATTGGGTTGCTTGTGCTTTTTGCTTTGCAGTGTACATCGACGAGTGTGCCAACGAGTGGTACGATTATTGCCAGATGTTTCAGGACAGAGGGGGAGATCGCCAGTGCTGGGGTACATAATACTGGTAGCAAAGAGGTTGTTGCTGGGGGTTGCGTTGTTCCCCTCAGAGGAGCGTGGTGATGATCGGCCCTTTCCTACTTACCCATACACCCACGAATATGTGCGAGAGCGCGATTCTCAGAATCCCAGAGCATATGCGAGTATTCCTTTTGGTGGCCGAGAAGGTCGGATTAAGTCCACATGTATCAAGCGAGGCTCTGCAACCGGAATGACCGCGAGGGCAAGGCAGGGAGATTTGCGTTGTGATTCACAACAGAGCCCGCGCATTTAGGGACATCCCGCGTGCATAGGAGGAGAGCGATGCGATGGCAGCGCGAGCTGCGGCGAGGTAGAAATGCCGGAAGCAAGCCAGGGCAAGTCGGCACCCTGTTCTTGCGCAGTGCTCTGATCTTCCAACTGACGGCTATCGTGGTCTCACAGACATCTCCTTGGGCGATCAGCGCCACAGAAATTGAAAACTGAGGCGAACCCTCCGACATAAGTGCAATCTTTAATCGAAAGCGCCCGTCGCTGTGTGGAGATTAGTGTACCCAGGCCCGGATACTTGCAGAGCTCTGCCGGGACCTGGGTTTCCTGTCCTGATTCCGTTCACACATCCAGCTTGAGGCCTTGTGACGCCTGCGGTGCCGGGACAGAGCAAGCCTCGGATTCTCAAATTGCCAGGAGACTTGTAAGATGGGTTGCTGCATTGATGTGCCGATGGCACATCAGACAGCAAGGTGCTGCCACAGGGGCACTCGGGAACCGCCTCGGAGGCTGGAAGTGTAAGCTTGAAGAGAATGAAGAGATCGGACGTCGTGGTTGTTAACCAGCAGCGACGTGGATAGAGAAGACGCTGGAGTCGGAACTGCCATCGAGGCCCAGCCTACTTGGCGCTGTGCCTCCTGCAGTCCTTAGCTTGGCAATGTAGGGCCAAGCAAGCTTTTGCTTCTTCCGCAGAGGGCAATATTAAGTCGGTCTGATGATCCCAAAGGTCGGGACACCCTGAGCGGTCCAGCTGACCCACTTGTCAGTTGGGGCGGTGGAGTGCAAATGGCCGCTGTGCCAGGAGACCTGCATCGCAGCACAGCCGAAGCACAGTTGACGCTCGGCACACGGCTGACCGCAACGGTTTATGGCTGAAGACCAGCGCGTGGCACAGCAGGCATCGCATTCTTCTGGAGCTTGGCACTCGGGAATTCCTACGAGTTACGTATGTAGAGGTGGATTTCAGGAGGTTTGGGGTCTGCATGAGCCCAGCCCTGGACCAATGCGCGGGAGAAGTGTTGAGGCTAAAGCCGCCGCGTGGTGTGCCGAAGGCCAGTCCTGAGGAGCACTCTCTGTGAAATTCTGAGAAACCTGTCCCTGATATTTTGGAATCTCGGAGGAGTTGGTGGCGTTGGCTGCAGATGTGAGGAGCAGACTTGGTGGGCTGTTCATCGCTTCTTCACATTGGATCACTGAACCGCTTCACGATTGCAGGTGATCAACATTGGATATCTGCGGCGGCAGCGCCGTCAGCTCAGACACGGAGCTTTCGGAGCCTGCCGCATTGCGCTGCAGCTTGAGGCTGGTTCTCCACTTTCGCTGCCGGCCTGAGGGCGGGCTGCAGGGGACTTTCCAGTCTCCAGCTTGTGCCACTCTGTGGCATTTGCGCTCAAGGCTGAACCCCCTCTCCGTAGCTTGCGGCTGTCGTTTCCTGGGCTGGCTCCTCGTCGGAGCCTTGCTGAGGATTTACGCTTTCCGGTTCTCGCTGGTTCTTGCTTTGCTGAAGGACAGGAAATTGCCGCTCCCACCGGCACCGATTGTTCGCGATCGGCCCAGACCGGAGCACAAACAAAACTTCGGGTCCTTGGACCATCTTGGACTTAGAGGTGCTTTTCGTGCCAGGCACACCGATTGCCGTGGCCATAGACTGCATCGCATGGCTCGGCGGCTTCCCTAGTTCTGCACCGGCAGCTTCCAAGCTCAGGGCTGGGGGTTGCACGGCTTCGTTGAGCATAGTGCAAGGGGCCATGGAAGAATTACAACACGAACAGGGCGAGGGAGGAGAACGAGCAGAGAAGAGAGGACGGGATAGAGTGCACGTTTATTGACGCTCTGTGAGAGGTTGGGACCCCAAATCAGGGTGATCTTCGAGACAAGTTGCAGGAACGCTGCCTTGGCGCTCGTACTAATGTGCTTGGGCTCCCAATCAGTTCTTTGAAACTTACTGGTGAACGAGGGCCGAGAAGCTTACTTTCACTGGGATGCGGAACTTTACATCGATGACGTGGAACCACGTCCAGCCTTCTGGCTGTCACTCAAAACTGCGATCACAGCAAATCATAGCTCGCTTGCCTTTTTTTTTGGGGTGGGGGGGTGGGGGGCTCTGACAACGATGTGATCTTGGGAGATGCGAGGGACTAATGGCTAATGGAGTTGCAAGCAACTGCTATGCAATGATGACTAATATGTGACAAAGAAGGGCATTGCCATAGCCACTCCTTTACGCTGCTGGCCCTGCATCCAGGCCAGGTGCCTGGGGTCGTGCGCAGCTTACACCATCTTGAAGACAGAACGGCCCTGGGTGGCCACCGTAGGCTTGTTCTCAGACAGCCAGGCCTCCGGGGCTTCGCAAGCTTTCCGCTGGCGCGACCAAACGATCACAGACCACCGCAGTATCGCTTCACGCCTGCCGAGATCCGAGCCCAATTGTCTGTGCCGTTTGAGCCGTGCTACGGCAAGGGAACAGGTCGATTGCAAGCCCGGCTTGCAGGTTGCAGGATTGGCTTCTGCCAATCTTCATGGCGACAGGTGGCACCATCGCCAAGGCACAGTGCCGTGCGAAGCTGTGCCGCTCCATGGAGCCCCGAAGCCGAAGCATGAACCCCGGCTTAGATTCTGCGCTTGGTCTCGATCTGAAGTTTCAGCGACACTCTAGACTGGCCAGGTCGCCAACACTGGAGCGCGCGTGGCCTCCTTGAAGGAAAAAATACTGAAGCATCTCATGCAACAGAATTCCTCCGAAGAATGCAAGCTGCGAGAGGAGTGGCTGTCAAACTTGTCCGGGCCCATGATGGTTTTCGTGCGGCTAGTTTCGCTGTTGCGTCGACTGCAGGAGAAGCACATGCGGGCACTGCAGCAAGAAGCTGGATGCCAGGGGCCCCGCACAGCAAGATACAAGCTTTGCCCGCAAGCTATGGGAATTAAGGGGCATCCGCTTGTTTGCGGCCGCTGCAAACAGGCAGAGCCGGCGGAGCCTAAAACACGTTTGCACATGCGTTGCAGTCGATGTTTGGGATCCTTTCGTTACGGTGTGCGAGTGTCGGTTGTTCTGCCAACATCGGAGAGGTTCGCTATTGCAGCCGATCTTGTCAGCAGGCCAATTGGAAGGACCGCCGGGATTTTATTTCGCTTGTGGCTGACGTATCAAGGAGAGGGAGAGGGACAGCCGGAAAGACGAGAGAGACCAGAAATTAACCAAGTCCGTGTTGCTTGGCCTCGCGCAAGTCTGAAGCCAAAGGGCTCTATTGACACTGGTGCGTTTCGGGCACCGGAGGGACTGTGAGCCCCTCGCCCCGCCACTGGCACAAGGGTTTGCATATCTCTCTCTCTCTCTCTCTCTGTCTCTGTCTCTGTCTCTCTCTCTCTCTCTCTCTCTCTCTCTCTCTGGTCGGGTACAGGAGTCCTGTGAAGGATCCCGGCCCCCCTAGCCGTAGGGGGCACCCCTTAGAGGGGACTTTTGTGTGTGGGTGCGCTCAACGAAATGCTCTGTGCTACCAGCGGTCCAAGATGCGATCCCCCGAACAAAGACACCAAGAAAGGCACCAACAATTAGCCATAATTAACCCCTTATCAGCGCATGGATCGAGAGACCTCGTGTGCCAGTGTCCGAGTTGCGAGAGCGTAAGCCCTCATCGCTCTTCAGGATCTGAGACATCTCTCGCTCTCTCCCTCTCTCCCTTAATGACAACCAGAACTCTTTCTTTCGAGAAACCAGAACTTATTCTGCACAGACAAAGGAAGCAAGGCGCGCAACCCTCCTCGCGCGCCCGCGAGTCCGCGAGCGCACTGGTCCTCCTTTTTCCTGGTGACACCGAACACACAACTGCAGGCAGCAGAGAGCAAGCCCCACTCCCTAGCTCTCTCTCTGTGTCTCCCTCTCTACGAGATCGAAGACACGGATGGTCCGGTATTGGCCAGGGCGCAAGTCTATAAACCCATGCTGGACGGGACAGACCCAACCTTTCTTTCCGCAGCGTGAGTGGCTATCTCAGTTCTTTGCCAAACTAGGTATCCGAGGTTGCAGCTTAGTGAAGAGAACTCGGTTCGCACGGGCATTCCACACGCGCGCAAGACTCTCCGCGTCAGAGGGGGGGACAGGGGAAGAAGTAGAAAAAGAAAGGTGAGCGGCCGTACAGTTCTATCGTTTCGAAGCTTCTGATTCTGCCGAATCTCCGTAATTCCGGCAGGTGCTTTTGGCCGTCGAGACTTCACAAGATGTTCAGCGGAACCACTGGGTACTAGACAACACCTCCTTGCCTCGTCCTAGTCCTAGTGACTATCATCATGACTCGACGCTTGCTTTTTGAGGACCACAAGGGAGGCTGCTTGCCCGTCACAGAGTCGTGGATACCTAAGAGAGCCGAGAGCCGACCAGCTCGTGCCGATGCCTCCGGGCTCGTTCGCGCATATGAGACGAGGGAAGCTTACACGCCAAGGCTTGCTGGAGTTGGTTCCTCAGTCTTCCCAGTCAGCCCCTGTAATGCGCCGGTTGGTGCTCATGTGCCGGCGTACTCGCACGCCTGCATACTTCTGGCTCCAGCTTGTGCATGTATGGTTCTAGATCCACGAGTCTCCTTGACGACAGGTTTGCAGACTTTGGCAGCGTCAGGAAGGCAATAGAAGGCGTGGTCCAAGACAGATCTTGAGGCACCAATGTCTGGTTTCGTGAGATCGGGTTGGCTGCGAGTGGGCGTGCGGCCATGGCGGTCAGCGATGGCATAGTGCCTAAATGATCCGACACTCGTCGAGAAGTATTTGGCGCCGCCTAGCATCGAGAGGAGCCCACAAGCGACCACCTCAAAGAAGCCCAGGCCCTGCAGAGCATGGCCGGGCCGACGACGTCCCAGGATCCGCTGACTGCTTTGCTCGGCACCTACGGAAAGATCGCAGATGCAGATGGCAAGAGCTTATGCGACACATGTGCAAAGTCGCGACCATTCGTGCGCTACCGCTTGCCAAGGCTGGCCACTGATCCAGTGTTTTCCTGAGATTCCAGGTCTTTCTCCCTGGCCCAGTTTTTGTTCAAAGCCTTACTGTAAGGATTTGGGCCGGCAGCTGGAAAGCCGAGTGCTGCGGTTCTCAGCCAGTCGCAAACTTCAAGACACCCAGGCTGCTCAGGCCTCCGCTACTGCTTAGCGCTTTGGGGCTGCATGGGGGGCATGTGAGTGCAGCCCTGGTGAGGACCGCTTCGAGGCGACGACGCAGCTTTGCCGGGCCCAGGCCTCCACGGAAGCCTGGCACCTCGGAGAATGCAGTTAGAAGAAGCGCGTCTCCTCGAGACGTCTCGAAAGTCTCTGCGACGGTGTGCGGTGCGGTGCGGCCATCTGCGGCCCAGGAGCGAGGAGGAGAGGAGCGCCTATGTGGGAAAGCTCCTGCGGATGCAGCCGGGACAGCCTGGTGCGGAAAAGGCAGTGGCGCAATTCCTGAAGGCACCGGCACTTGAGAGTGAGCAGCGTGAGATTCAAGACAGAGCACGTCACGCATGCCTCGACCTGACTGATGGCACCAGCTTCGGTACAAGCCGGATCAAGCAGAGCAGAGTAGCAGAGTAGCTGAGTAGCTGCCATAACTCCCGATGCAACCTTGAATCAGAACAGGCGCTAGGGCTTTAAGGGCCAATGGGTGTGTCTTCACAATGGACGCCACGATGAAGGCTGCACCATCACCACCAGAAACAGTTGCAGAGGATCTCGCATGGTCTTTGGCCGAACCTGGTGCCTTGCAAGATCCTCGCTCGGGAGCCAGAGGCCTTCTTTCTCGTGGTGTCTGCAGGCTCCGAACTGTGGTCATGGTAGCGCGACGCAAACGAGGAGGACTTGCAGTCCAGGAAAAGAAGATCCACACCTTTTCAGTTGCCATCGTGGCTCCCCTGTCAAGGGAGGCGTCGTCCTTTCCACCTCCCAGGATGGGATGAGCATCAGCCACACCAACGGTTCAGCGCGAAGCCGCACGAGGATTCTGGCAACTAAGTGGCTCCGAAGAAATAGAGTACTGTAGAGTGCAGACAAATCCAGGCCCGGTTAGGCCGCTGGCCTTTATGAGCTCCTGATCCATTGCCAATGGACTCATTCCCATTCCTGGGAACATCATGGGCTGAGTTGCCATCATGTTGTTGCCATTCACCCGAGCACTCTTTCTTGACTTTCCCATGGCTGTGGGCAAGAGTGACTCGGGCGGACCTAACATCAAGCCATGAAGCACATGCTTGGACAGTGTCCGCAGGCAGCTGGGATACGGACGAGTGATTTGGATTTGACGCCACTGTGAGGCTGGAAGTCTGGAAGCGTCTGGCTTGTTTTCCGGCAAAATTTCACAGTGGCAGTCTTTTTTGGAAGCCGACGAGTGCCGTGCTGGTTTTTCTGGGTTCACGTCGGCTGCGAGATTTGGAGTCTCAGTGTGGCAGTGACGGCTTGAAATCCGCCAGACAAAAAGGCATCGCCTCGATAGCAGCCCCACCTCGCTATGGCTTTTCTCTGACGAATCGCCTGGCGACCGAGCAAAAGAGTTCGGAGGATTCGGAGATGTTGCGAGGCTTACGAGTTTAGTTGTCGTCCGCGAGGACTTGCTCGGCGACGTCTCCCTTCCCGAGCCTTGGGCCACCTGGGCTTACCTAGGCGAACCTAGCTGAGTTCTTTCCAAGCAGCCAGAGCTAGGTGCTGCAGGTGCCCGCAAGTGTCCTGGCTGGAGCTGAGGTTATGCTGCGCAGCTCTCGCGGCCGCGTCTTCTTTTGCAACATGGCCACGAGGCAGTTGGGCATTGCGTGGCGTCATAGGAAACATCCGTGACGAGACCCTGGCGCCGCAAGGCGAACCACGTGGGACCATCCCCTTGAAGGCTCTCTGCTCGAGGCGGCTACGCTGCGGCCTCGATGAGGCTCACAATACCTCGGAGAACTAGGAGTCGTGCTGCCAAGGATCTGCAAACAAGTTCTGCAGCTTGACGAACCTTGGCGGGCCCCTGCCCCTGACATGTCCACAAGCTGATGCCGCGGCATGAAGAACTCACACATTCAGTTCAGGCGAACCTCACGGCACATCTCCTGGAAGTAGTAGAGTCTTGGAAGCCATAGCCATGTTATTCTTTGTGAGAGAAGGGGCGACAGCGCGGCAGTAAGCTTTCAGGCAGAGGATGAGGAAGACTTCCTGGGGAAATGGGATTCAGTTCCTGCTGGTGATGGTCTCGAGAATCCTTGCAGCACAGTCTCGGAGGTATATTTACACTCAGATGGCCGTGATGATTGATTTGTAATTAGGCTGTCGCAACCGCTCTCTTTTCTTCACGTGACGCTGATTCAAGAGCCTTCAGATCCGAAGGACCACTCTTTTCTGTCCGACTGTTGTAGTCTGCTCGCCCCGATTGCTTGGGCTTGGCTGAGGCAATTCAGACACACTGAAACTGGCTTATTTTCCTGGACACCTCCCCGGGAGATAGCTGCAGGGCTGCTTGTCTTACCATGTCGCGCCTATTGCCCGTCTGACCATCGTCTCGGAGAAGCTCTCACGCTCTCCATTGGTGCGACCCGCTGAGGCTTTTCCAGTGCAAGCGTGCAGCACTTGCCAAACTTTGCGACGACAGGCACGCAGAACGTAGATGAGCGTAGTCCCGAATGTTTGTTCACGCTTGTCGCCAGGACATGGTGTCAATGCATCAGGCGAACAGTCATCGACTAGTTACCCCTTGGCCCTGCCAAATCTAGACGCAGCACAGTCGTGGCCTCTACCCTAGTTGTTGTTTGGTGTTGCTGTTGCCACGTTTTAAAATGCGATGCTAGCAGTATCATCTCGAGTATAGTGACAGTACGGTGCCACAGCGTCCAAGAGCTGACCACTTGCACTGTTGCGGATCGCCGGCGAAGGTACGTCAGGCAATTGCAGCTCCAGGAGCCAAGCATGGATTTGTGGTTGCTTGGGGTGCTGATGGAAGGGCAAAGTCAAAGGGCGAGTCCGAAATCCTGAAGAAGCTTGAGCTGCAAGTCCAGGACCCCCCGCCTGCAGTGCAGCTGGAAGCTCGTGCCTGGGCAGGTCTTATGTAGAATTTTGCAGAATGTAGAATGTGCTAGTCAGAGGGGCTATGCTCCACTTGCAGTTCTCATTGTCACGCGACCAACTCGAACTCAGGAAAAAAGAACATCTCTGCAGCCATCCGGACTGGGGCGAGCTGTCTCGTTCAAGTGGTCCTGCGGAATACTGTCCGGTTTTGCCTGAGCTCGCCGACTCATCCCGATCACCACCACGCGCCTCCAAAGCCCGGCGCCTGTGCCAGCAGCCATGGCAGCAGAAGCACGAGCACCAGCAGCAGCAGCAGCAGCAGCGCAGCGTTGCATTAGCTTCACCACTGCACCACCACCACGCATCAGCATCAGCATCAGCATCAGCATCAGCATCAGCATCAGCATCAGCATCAGCATCAGCATCAGCATCAGCATCATCATCATCATCATCAGCATGATCTTCATCATGGTCATCATCATGATTCTAAAATCATCCAGTGGCTTCGCATCCGCGCCAGGATGCTCATGGAGGCAGTCGATGACACATCGCAGGGGAGTCGCACGCCCTCGCGACCTGCCTCAGAGATTTTGCCGCGCCATGCCGCTCGGCATATGAGCTGTTCACCCTCTCAACGCCCCTAAAGCGACACTCCCAGAAACTGCAACTCTGAGTAGCCGTGTAGCACATCGATGTGACATGGCCGTGGTTGGGACCCGAGGTGCTGTCGGGCACCACCAGTGCTTTGCTTGCCCAGTCGGACAAGGTGCGCCGAGCTGAAGAGCGGGAGTATGAGTGAAGGATCACTTGGGCGGACCCGCTGACATCTCCCGACCACGAGTCACGAGATCGTTTCTTCTCACACTCCACAGCCGGCACCGACACTCGCGTTTCTGGATGCTGTTTGGCCCGAGTCTCGGCTCCAAGCCGAAATCAGCGCATAGCCCTGCGCCGAACGAAGTTGAAGTCCGTGGCACGCTCAGGGCCTTGTTTGTGGAGACACGCCCCTATTTAACCACTGTCTTTCCTCACATTCATGACCTCATCCCTCCACATGGCTCAGACCGACCAACAAGCGTGTGTGTGTGTGTATATACATACATAAAATAAATAAATATAAATAAATAAATAAATATATATATATATGTTTACGTAATATAGATATATACAAAAGTGTTTATATGTACATATGTGTGTATATATATATATACACATATATATATATGTATATATATATATATATCAAAGCACACATATGTATATATGTATACACATACACATCCCAGCATGGGAAAGGGTGTTTTCCAAGTTTCAAGCTTGTTCCTCCAGCAGCATCTCCTCCCGTCAAAAGCAAGAAGGAAATCCAGGATAGCAAGATAGTCAAAGCAACTGATACCCTTGTTCGTTTGTATTCAATCGGAGCTCCGGCATGAACCGCCGGTCAGAGAGCAGCACACATTTCGCAGGGGAGACATCCTTCTTTTGGGCATTCCGCCGGGTTTCGGGGTCCGGTCTTCCAGACTGGGCCGATGACTGGCGAGTCAACGCTCTGTCCAGCCCTTCAGGTCCGCGGTGTCGTCGGTCCACCTGTCACCGCGTGATTCATAGTCTTGTAATGTTTTGTATAACTTTGCACGAATCCCTGGCAAGCTTCAGGGTCATTCAGCAAAATTCAGTATTCACTGAGGCAGCATGGCTGCGGCATCGGAGGAGACACCACTCCTTGCACGAAAGCCAGATGGGGAGGCGAACCACAGCTGTTCCGTTCAGGGCTTCGCCTGCTCCTCTCTGACGCTCTAGTCGTTAGAGGAACAACCTGTCCACCGCTTGGAGGAAAATTTCGACTCCATGAATTATGACGCCCGCAAGTTGGTCACTTTCGTGGCCAGACTGCAAAAGGCTAGTATCGCTTTCGAGGATCAGAGAGACAGACCTCAATGTCATGTCAAAGAAAGGAAGTCTTCTGGAACTTTAGTGGTACGGTGTGGATGAAATCGTCTTTATGGAAGATGATGGGCATTCTTCTCATGATCGCCCTGTGCATAGCCTCGTCTGTTGCCCTGATGGTAAGTGACCCGGCCGCCGCCTGGCCGCATCCATCCGGCTGCATTTCCAGGTTCTGTCGCTAAGGTACCGTAAGCTCACAGCGGGGCAGTTGTGGCAAGTCTAAGGAGCTCGATGTTGGACGCTTCCAACGCATCAGTACATTCTTGGAGGTTGTGGTGGGGTTGCTGCTGGGTTTCTTTCTTTCGAGCTCAGTGCAGCGCTGGTACAATTGCACCAATGGCTTCCTGGAGCTCTTTGATGCCATCCGGTCGCTTCACATGCAGCTCAATGCGCTTGGAGTCCCGAAGGAGCGACTCCGTCTGTGCTTGCGCTACTGTGTGGTGTCGGCCCATTGCTTGGATAACGACCTTATTGCCTCAGCGATGGCGCCAAGCGAGCGCGTGGAATTTCTCCGGGGCCAATGGGACAATCTTGCTGCAGATGCCGAGGACGGCGACGTCTTCACAGACCGCTCGAAGAGCTTTGCGACGCTGCTTCCGAGTGAGAGGGAAATCCTGAAGAAGATCGAGGACCCAGCCCAAACACTTTGGGTATGGGTGACCTCACTGCTCACGCGGATGGCCGCGGATGGGGAGACCCCTCCGATTCCAAGCCCCACCTACGGCCGCATCATCACAATTGCGGAGCAAGCGTATAGCGGCATTCGCACAGTTCGAGCCTCCATTCGGGTGCAGCCTCCCTACGTGCATGTTCAAATGATGGCAGCCCTTGTGTTAGTCAACAACCTCATCAATGCCGTGAGCTTTGGCATGACGGCGGGTGTGACCGTCAGCATGTGTCTCGCTCGCTACCACATCAGCCCCAACGCGAGCAAAACACCAGGCCAGGCATGCCCTTGCCTGAGAAATCTTGAGACACGTTTGCTTCCTTGTCATTGAGAGGCTCAGACGATGTGTCCCACAGTCTGCAAGACTTGGCCGTTGGATTGATTCTTGCGACGGTTGGCCCATTCCTGTACCAGGCCGGCATACCTTTGCCTAGTTTGCCCGTACCTTCTTGCGGCCCTGCAGCTTTGCGAGGCCCTCCTGGAGGTCGCCGTCTGTATAGCGCAGCCGTTCACTGCAGCGGGTCATGATTCCAAGTCCCCTGGACGAATCCCCACGGAGAAGCAGCTTGGGTCTGCAGACAGGTGCAGGAAGCCACTCAGTCAGTATGTCCTAGCCAGTACATGGGAGATGGCAGTGCGTTGCGCAGTTTGGCTTTGCCGAGCCCAGCTGAGGCTCCTGCGCAACTTGGAGAAGGACTTGCGCGACATTGAGCACATGAGCCTGAACCTCCCTTGGCTTGTCGGCTGCAGTTAGAGAAACATGCGTTGTCGCTTGACCGGCTGCTCGGGTTGCCTGGTTGGCTTCCTGACCGACCATACCGACCGATCGGACGGCTGACGAAAGCTCATCAATCCGAAACATACTCACCCACAAATTCTTCCAAAGATTCCCCATATTAGAATCGATAAGCTAGCATCGCCGACTTGTCATGACCTTCATGACTTGTGTTAGTCATCACACCCCCAGCTTTCGCTTTATTCATCATCACAGTATCGCCATATTGTCATCTTCTTCATCGAGGTCCTAACGGGAACAGTGGCTCATCTGCGCAGATCTGTATGGACCCCGATGGCCAAGGTGGAAGCAGACGTACTTCAAGCCGGCATGCCCGGCTCCCAGAAGAGTCTATAGAAGTGGTCTGAACCAAGTTGGGAAGCTCTGAGGAATCGAGCTGAGAAAGGCAGTGTGGACTCATGCTGCGTCAAAGGGGCGGCTTGCAAAAGTCCGATGTCCACTCGACGGTTTCTCATGAACTTTCCATGATAATGTCTGAAGCGGGCACTGTACGTCTTAAAGGCAAGTCCTTGGAATCCTGTTGTGGATTGACCGGCAGGCTGGCAAAGCGCTGTCGGCGACAAGCGGCGAGACTCCTTTAGATTCCAGGGCAGACACGCCGTCGGCTCACAGCCGAACTTGGGAAGCCCCGTTGCTAGAAGGTGACGGCAACCTGGAGGCTGAAGAGCCAAACCACGTAGATCCCAAGCCGACAGAGGAACAGCAAGAGCAGCAACTGCCGCAAGACCATCAGGAGGCAGCGCAACAGGACCTTCGTGATGATCAATCTGCGAAGTTTGTGATTCATGACGACGATGACACTTGTGAGCCGCACGCCAGGGGCGTCGTTGAAGCTGAAGTCTTGCCAAACCCAGCAGAGGCCGTGGCACAAGCCTCGACCAAGATCGACGAGTCAAAGCAGCAGGCGGTCACTCCCCAAGTCCCTAGGGAGCTGCAGGAGTTCGAGACTGCGGTCCTCGCATTCGCACAGGCCCTTGATGCGGACGTGCAGGTTGGTGACGACGACAAGCCTCATCGGGCGAGCCAAACGCACTGCCGGCAAGCCCACGACGAGCAGGATTGGTCTGCGCCTTCACGACCTGCACCACCCACCACGACGGAGGAGAACCTGGGTGGGGACTTGCCGGACGGGCATGGGCATGAGGAGCAGTGCGCTGCAGAGCTGCCTGGCAGAGGTACTTGGACCTCAGAGGACTCCGTAACGAGGGCTGAGCCCAGCTGCGAGGCAGGCAGTCCGTCGGCTGAGCCCCGAGCCGGGGAGGAAGAGCTGGCCCTGGCGGCACTCGCACTTCTGCAACTCATGAGCCCTCGGATCAAAGAGGAGACCCTCACCGAAGGAGGGCTCGGTGAAGCAGCTCAAGTTACACAGACCACATCTTCAACTGATGCCGATGGTTCTTTGACAGCACCTGCCCAGGACAGCCCGAGTTTTTCTGCCTTGGCTCAGATTCGAAGCTCGGCCTTGCGAGGACCAGGCCAGCTTGGAGCTGGCAGAGAGCAAGGAGGCAGTCTTCAGCCGCCAGGAAAGGGAAGTCGACTAAAGACACTGATGACAAGTGTCTCGGTAATCCTCCAGAAAAGAGTGATGGTACGATGTTGCTTTTTTCTGTTGCATGTATCTGAAAGACTTTTGCTCTCGCGCTCAGCAGGACGAGGCGATTGTCGCTTGGCAGGTCAGCGGCGAGAGCCGTGCCGACTGCAGTTCGATCTGTCTCTGCATGAGTCTCCGCTTTGCTCCGCTCTCCTTCCATTACCTTTTCTGCTTCTTCACAGTGTCGCTTTGCCACGCCACCGGAGTCTAAGATCTTATTTTGGGCGGCTTGTGCCCCCACAATACGCGGCTGGTCCTCATTCCTGGTAGGTCTTGAGACGCAATGTGCAAGGATTTCATCGCATCGCATCTCTCCCGACTGGAATCCACGCCGGGAATGCTGGCGAAAGGGAAGCTGTGGTGACCTCAGACTTGTCCCTTTTACTGACACACTGATCTTCGCATCGGCACGGAAGCTTCACGAGTCAAATCTGCATCGCTTGCTTTGGCAGGTCAAAGTTTCTCCAGCTGCTGGGCATGAATGCGGCTGATATCGACGAGGCAAGACAGTGCACTTCTTGCCACGGCTCTCGGTGCATGAGATCGGTATGCCGGGCTGGGAACCAACTTCCCAGGGGCTGATGCTTATAAAAGCCCCGGCAGAAGCTAGAATCCATCTTCAAAGATGGATGTACAACCGTAACAGGACGAGCATTGTCCGGGTGTGAGCTCGAACAAAAACAAGAGGAGTGTCGGCGGCTGCTTTAGAGTTTTGTGGAAATTGGAGGTCGATGACACAACACAGGAACTTTGCACGCCGATGTTAAAGCAACAGCACCTTTGACTCGTCACCCAGATTTGAGTCGCTCGAGAGATGCATCGGAGGAATGTATGTTTTTTGATCATGGATTCGGATCCAACAGCCACATCTCTAATTTCCCTAGCAAGCCTCAGTGGGGCATGTGGAGGGCATGCGCTGGGCACGACAAGTCTGATGGGCACACCAGCTGTCTTGAAACTTGGCACGCGGTTTCCCTCCGCCGCAGGCCAGATTAAGTACCCAAGCCTCCATGCAGCAGCGAGGCATTGGATGCAGCTCAGGTAGCGGATGCCGACCCTCAGCTGAGAATTCGGTTTCGCAGAAAGAGCTTGAGGGGCTTACGCCCTGAAGCCGAGGAGGGTTTCATTGACTACCGGGCCTTCCTGAAGTGGCTCCTGGAGCCCGAGCCGGTCTGAAGCGAAGCCGAAGCCGAGCGAAGCCGAGCCGAGCATGTGCACTTCTGCCCGTAGTAGGAGAATGTGAGACTGTTCCGCACGGCGAAAGCTGTGCTTGCGCTCTCCGAAGTTGAGAGACGCGACGAAGCTGTAGCGGACTGCAAACAGCTGGTGTGGCGCTCCTTGGCACCGAGAGCAGGGCTGTTGTCCTGGCCGAACCCCGAGGAACTCGCTTTCAAGCTCATTGCCAAAACTCAGTGATGGGACCTCGTAGACTCGTAGCTAGGACTCTCTGGCAACGCGTCGGCGCAAGTACGGAGAGAGCAACAAGTTCAGTGCTTGGGTGCTGAGCATATGCAAGCTTGCCACTTCAGAAGTGCGTTCTGCACCATGGGAAAGACTTGTCCTGCCTGCTTGAAGCGATTTTGCCGTCCAGCTGAAGTAGCTAGACAGCTAGATGGATGTGCAAAGGGGGGACTTTCGCCCACTCACCTAATTAGAAACGAAAAGCTACAGAGGTGCAGCACCAATATCGTGAGGAATGTGTCTGCAGCTATGGAGCGGTAGGCCGAACTGCTGCTCCCCACTTGCGGAGGAACCGAGTGTCCAACGCATGGCATGCATGGCAAAGCATCGCTGCGCACCCATGCATCTGCCCAGAGGCAGACCACCCAGAACCCCAGCTGCAAGCCGTCCCATGCAGCGGTGCCTGGGGCATCCTGGGGCATCATGACCTCCGCTTGGAGGTGAGCCACCTGAAAGAAATGGGCCTGGCTGGCGAGCTGATTTGGCCTGGTGCTTTGAGCAGACGCCAGGGCCGCCAGGGCGCGGGAAAAAGAAGCCCATGCTTGGCACGAAGGTTCACGAAGCAAATCAGCGCGTCTGGCTGGCAGAGTGCAGCTGACTCAGCCGGCATCATCCGACTCAATCATGTAGAGCGGCGTGCTGTTGTTTCTGCATCTAAATTTTTGCATTCGCTGTCGCTGCCCCTGTGCTTCCTGAGGCCTGGACACGGTCATCGCAGCTCTTCCTTGGGACGCAGCAGGAGAGGGCCCTGGGGCCCTGGCAGGCCAAAGCAGCCTTTCTCATGCAGCTGTTCAGGCTCCAATGTGAGCAGTAGGCGCTGAGGATGCTGAGTTGTCTTGTGACAAGCTGGAGGGTTCACCAAGGTCGCGCTGCAGCCAGATGTTGTGCTGCTCGGAGCCGTCTCAGGCTGCGAAGTCGTGAGGGCCATGCATGGAGAGGGAGACCCAATGCCAAATAGACCGCAAATGACACCAACATCCCAAGAACTCCTTGGACCGTGCATGCGCAAGCCTGGCATCAGGGGCATTCAGCCACGGGCGACGCTGGCAAGAAGCAGTTCAACTCGCAGCGGCAACCTTGGGGTGGCGGATGCACTGGGATTGGCAAGAAGGAGCACCTCCACGTTCCTTGCACTGAGGCTGGCTTGCGTTGTTTCGCTGTGCAAGCAAATCAGGCAAAGCGCCTGCGTGTGATGCTTTGCATTTCGGCTTTTTGTCTGTCATGTATTTGCTGCTGCTCGCTTGCTGCTGGTAGGTCCTCCATGGTGCAATAGTGGCGGCCTGCATCTGCCTTAGGTCCTTAGGTTGCGGAGAGGGCATGCAAGAGTGCAAGCTTGGGCACAAGCGCTTAGAACTAGAGCCAGGTCGCGAGCAGTGGCCGCGTGCCTTCTGCGTCCTTCAAGAGATGTCGGAGGCAGACAGAGAGCCTGGGGTCGTTGAGCGACAGCTTTCTACATGCCGAGCCTTCGAGGTGAATGTAGGAGCGAGCACGGTTGCGGCCGGACCCGCCGTCCATGCATCGCCATGGGTGCGCCAGCCTAGAGTTGTGACCGTGCATGCTGGGTGCTGGAATCGGAGTGCTTGATAGTGGTCCTACGGTGTCCTCTCCGACTCCGACTCATTGGACCCTGCCTCAGGTACGTGGTCTGGATCTGTTCGGCGATTTGCGGGGCCGACTCTGTGAGCCACGCACCCACACGCGAAGTCAGAACATGGCAGAACCATAGTAAGACAGTAAGGCCGACTCTGCTTTTGAAGGATAAATGCGGTTTGCTGGAACTCGATCATCGCCTCTTCGGGAGCTTCCTGGCCGAAGGCTCCCCTTCGTATGCTGTCGCGGCTGAAGTCAGTAGTAGGAGCCGAGTTGTGGCGAAATTTATGAATTTACTGTAGGCCTTCAGAGTCAGTAGACATGAGACTTCAGGTGGGCACGCCAGTAGATAGAGGTTCCATTTGGACTCTACTTGTTGTGGCAGGCGCTGAACCTGGTGGATGCGACTCGATCATTATGATGGCTACCGTTGTCTTTTCCCGGTCAGCATGCTCACTATCCTTTTTGCTGCAGAACAGGGGACCTACATTACATGTACATCCCGAAAGCAGTGTTTGTGTGCGTGCATGCACGCTGGGTGGGTGGGTGCGTGGGTGCGTGGGTGCGTGGGTGCGTGGGGTGGGTGGGTGGGTGGGTGGGTGGGTGGGTGGGTGGGTGGGTGGGTGGGTGGGTGTGTGTGTGTGCGCGCGCGCCCCTGCTGTTTGTACATGATTTGTTTTTGATCTCTCCTGACAAGGTCTCCAAGCAAGACGCTGCGGAGACCAATCTGGTAGCGCTGCACCCCGAAAGAACACGGGGCTTAGCAAGATCTGAGATGTGAATGCATAGATGTCTGGCCAAGGCTGACCGCAGCATTCATCGTCACTTCAGCATGGCTGCTCAAACGCAATTCGTAAGTTCCAGTGGCTGTCGCGAGACATTTGTTCCTACAGCTTCAGGAGAGCGTCGACGGGTTTGGCGGAGCAGTGGGATGCGCCTGCTTATGGCGCGGCTTTTACGAAGCTCGCGCCTTCCCAGCAGCGAGGGTGATTCGTTTTTGTTGACACATGAAAAGACGGCGTGACGGCGTCTGACTGAGGGTGCCTTCGGAGAGCCAGTCCCTCAGTCAGACGCGACCGAAGTGACTGAAGAAGCCTATGCCGAAAGCGCGAAGGTGGGCAAGGCCGCTGGCACTCCTTCAGCAGGCCAGCGAAGGTGAGGGCCGCTAGACGCTGAAAACTTTAACGAAGTGAGGGCTGGGTCTGGGAGCAGTTCAGACCCTGTGCATGAGCTAACGCCGCAGCAGTCCGGGCACAAGTGGGTTCAACAACTTGTCCTGCGGGGTGTTTCTTCGATGCAGCTTTCACATAATTCTCAAATCTAGCGAAGTCGATAGGATGCAGCTTTCGCGAAGTTCAGGCCGCGTGCACCTCGAGCAGCCACAGAGCCGGGGGCGTACCAGGGAAGGCTTAAGTTGGCTGAATAGAGGGCAAGGCCACAGCAGTGTCAGAGCACACAGCCATAGAGTTGCATGTCTGCGCTTGGAGTATGCTCAGGTGCTGCGGCCGTTGGTGCGTGCTCACGGAGTTCTGCCTGGAGGCTTCTCGTTGCAGTGAGCACTAATGGACTCCCACGCGTAGCCGCCACAGCTGCCACGACCTTCGGCTCACACAGTCACACAGGAGGAGCTTGAACATCTTGCTGCGGAGGAGTCGCAGCTATGCCAGGTAGGGTCGAGCTTGGAGTCATAGAGACCCCACTGAGACACAGTCATACGCAAAGTCGATGAAAGCAGGCCTGTGGATAATGTTGCCGTCTGATCCTCGCTCTCTTGGTGCTTTTTCAGCCTATGTGACCGGATGCTGACGGCCTTTCGAGCAGTTAGCCACTGGGCAACCACGAGTTCATGTAGCTCATGCCTCCGCAGCATTGACTCAAGGTAGGCCTTGCGGGTGCGAGCTCGCTGCAGTCTCGCTGAGATAACCGTTCGAACCTGATCAGGGTAGTTCCTGCGAAGGGACTGGGCCGCCTTACCTCTGCCATGTTCATGCGAAGGAGTGCCAGCCTCTTGCGCCTGCCCGCCGTGCGGGCGAAGTCCGCGCTCGTCACTGCTATGCCTTCCGACCCAGCCTATGTCGCGAACAAGCTCGCGCAGTTCGATGCCATGCAGTTCACGCCGGGTCCTCAAGACTCATGTCTAGGGGGGTCGTCAAAGCGCAGAAGAGCCAGTCTTCGCAGATTGGGATACTTCCGTAGCCAGAACCTCGAGAATGTGACACCAGCAGAAGCGGGAGTCTTGAGCACACTCCTCCAAATGAGAAATTGTGGAAACCCATATCGGGTTCCGCCCAAGCAACCAATAAGCAGCCAAAACACATGTATTTTGGCTGATAAACACAAAAGTAGCCAAAACCCATGGAAGTTTGAGCCGCCCAAGTGTATATTTCAAGATGTGTTTTCAATCTTCGTTCTTCCAATAAAGTACCCTAAGTAGCAGAAACACAAGCATTTGGGACACTTTGGCTGTCTTTTCACCGGCTTGGGACACCGACGGGCAAATTTCGGTGATTTGGCATCCTCGAATCATTCAAATCGAAGCCAGTGGCATTTTGGTACACTTTACTGTAGGGTTTGAGAGCTGGTCTGGGGGACCGTTCATGGCAGCTTTGGATGCTTTTCGTCGTGGACCAGACGTATGCATGTGTGCCTCTTTTTCTGATCTGGCCAGCACCAGATGGCAAACAGTGCTGAATATTAAAAGATTTCTGGCTCACTCAAGCAGCCGATAAGTATTGAAAGCGTAGATGTGTTTGGCGGGCTCAGCCGAACTCCTCAGAAGCGTTCTATCAGAGATGTTTGACCAGACTTGTTGACTTTTCGCCTTCTGCGTTAGTGTTTAATTTTTTCACACGTTCGATAGTTATCGATATTTAGACTTTTCCCCTTTTAGACTTTTCGCCTTTCCCTGTACTTTTCCACTTGTCACTGTGTTTGACTTTTCGCTTTTTGCTATACTTTTCGACGTTTCGCTGCTTTTCTTAACTTTTCGGGCTTTCGTTTTTCGGGATGTCTTGCTTTCAATAATCCAACGCAGCTTTTCGACGTTCAGTTTTTGTTGCTTTTTGCGCGCCATTGGGCCTTCGCCACGTATCCGCAATTTATGAGCAGGCCCTCCTTAACATCAACAAGGAACTGTAGTGAACCAGATGAAGTGAGTTGTTGCGAGAGCATAACAAAATGAAAGCGCACCTCCGGAGAGACCCTACACCTAGGATTTCCTTGGCTGTTCTTTGAGCTTCTTTGCTAAAGCTGTTCTTGGCTTATCGTTCTTGGCTTGTTGCTTAGGGCTTACTTTTCACGTCTCTAGCTGGCCTTGCCTGTCTTGTTTTTGGAGACGGCGCCCGTACGGGGCCGTGCGTTTAAGCACATTTCAGACCGGGGTGGGTGGGGGGGGAGGGGGTGGGGGGGGGCGGGGGCTAATGACGTCAGCTTTGCGCAGACTTGCTGGCCCAAGCCTAGATTGCGGGGATGTCCGGCTGGCTGGCGCTGACTTTATTTGCACTGCTGATCCTGTGGCAGACAAGCGGGCTCCTGCGACCATGGGCTTTGCCCGAACAGTACTAGAACTGCACTCTCACCGTCACTCAATACTAAACGATCCTATTTTTAGGCCTCAAGGCAGTCACCAACTTTTCGCGTGTCATAATAGTATGAAGGATTTTCCTAGAAGCTTCAAGGCCTTGCCTTCTGTACAACGCTACCGGGCTCTAAGCAACGCAAACCTTCAACATGACTGTGGCCCCAAAAAAGGTGTGAAACGCCCCCCCGCTGTGGCCAGAGCACGATTTTGCAGCTTTTCTTTTTCAAGCTATCCCTTGCCCAAAGCACTCTCCGAAAAAAAAGCCTCCCAAAACGCAAAATGCTTACAGTGCAAAACACAGCCGCGCTGTGGCGAGAGCACGATTTTCAAGCAAAAAAGATCTTGAAACTTTGAATTTTCAAGACACCGCGACCAGAAAACACTCAAAAAAACTCGACAAAACACTTCGTAAAAATGCATGTTCACGAAAAGTTTGCGGGAGCTTCTAGTGTTCTCGAGACCTGCAAACGTGCATGACCCATACAAAACACGCGTTTTGCTCGAGTTTTGGTCACTCGGATGTCTCGCACTGACAAAAAAATGTCTCCAAACGCACGGCCCTGTACAGGCGCCGTCACCTTGCTTTTGTCGTTGTAGTTGTCCAGATGATTCCTGTCAGACACCCTTCGAGCAACAACGTAGGTTGAAGCAGTTTCCATCACGATTCAGGACTTCCGGTATGTTTAGATCTTCAGTTTTCTTTTGCAGGCTTCTCTGTTCTGTAGCGATCTTCAAAGTTTCGATTTTGCTCTCCTAGCTTTTCGACTTGCGGCCGCGCAGCAAAACAGGACCCTAAACTACATGCATAAGCTCGCCCCTTGCCCGGTGCGACTGTGTGAAACACCGTGAAGTAATCCTTAAAGCGCGGCTGCTGAAGGCAACTTCCGCTGCGTCGCCACACTTGTGAAGGAAGACTTTGCACCTCCCCCTCTCTATCTCTATCTCTATCGCTGTCGCTATCGCTATGGCTATCTCTCGCTCTCGCTCTCTCTCTCTCTCTCTCTCTCTCTCTCTCTCTCTCTCTCCACACAAATCGTTCAAGCACGTTTTAGCATGTCTCTAATATTTGGGTTCTTTTTGGGTCCAGTTGCAGTCTCCGCGTTGGGATAGCACGGAAGTTCGAGCTTTTTGGTCTAGTGTCAGTCTCCAGCTTTCAGCAAAGGATTTCTTTTCAGCTTTCTTCTGAGCGGGTTAGTTTCTTTTGTGGTTCTTCTTAGTCGTCGAAGTTTTTCTGATGTTGGGAAGCGACGCGTAACGAAGTGACGTATGACATGTAACTTCGCCCTCCGCCAAGGCCCATCCGCGAGAGCACGGTTAGCCGAGAGATGACCCGGCGCTACATGAGTGAGATGATCGACTATGCGGAGACCGACGTGTGCCTTGAAGCCATAATAGTCCGATATGTGAACGAGCGGCTGCAATAATAGAGCGATCTTAGTAGCACTGTGATCCAACAGTTGAGGTGCATTGTTGGTGCTGGTTCTGCTGGGCTGTCGTGTGCCTACGAACTCTCCAAACATCCGGACATCAAGGTTGCAATTGTCGAGCAGAATGTGGCGCCAGGGGGTGGTTGTTGGCTGGGTGGGCAACTCATGAGCTCCATGGTCGTGCGCAAGCCTGCCGATGAATTCCTGGATGAGCTGGAGGTTCCGTATGACGACAAGGGTGACTACGTTGTTGTCAAGCATGCGGCTCTCTTCATGTCCTCCGTCTTGCGCAAGGCCCTTCTGGCCCCGAATGTGAAGCTTTTCAACGCAGTGGCGGTGGAGGACCTCCTGGTGAAGCAAGAGGCAGATGGCGTGGCCGTGCGTGGCGCTCCCTGACTGGGTATGGTGCAACGCTACGGCAGAATGATGTTCGTAGACAAAGTGGGCTCTAATTAAATAGAAGCTTGCCGGATTTTCATTTCGGCAGCCAAGATCAGACACATCGGACTGTTGGGCGTCTAAGGTTGTGACCAACTGGTCCCTCGTGACACAGAACCACGACACGCAGTCCTGCATGGACCCACAAGTCATGGAGGCCAAGGTGGTCGTCACTGCCACTGGCCATGATGGTCCCATGGGCGCCAGTTCGGCCAAGCGCCTGGAATCCTTGGGAGCCTTGCCTTCAGGGCTTCCAGGAATGGGAGCCCTGGACATGAACACGGCAGAGGATGCAGTGGTGCAGATGACGAGCGAGGTCGTCCCAGGTCTGATCTTTGCAGGCATGGAAGTCGCTGAGGCACGTGGCTGCAATAGGATGGGCCCCACCTTTGGCGCCATGCTTCTCTCGGGCCAAAAGGCCGCCAATCTCGCCATCCAAGCTCTGAAGCGCTGAAGCTGAAGGGCAGCACAGGCTGCACTTGGGCAGTTCCGGCCGTTCACGGCCCCGAAAAGGTTTTGGTCTAGAGTTCTAGAGCTAGCACTCAGAGCCACGAAGCGTTCCATGTTGGCTCCGAGCTACCAGCAAGAGCAGAGTTTCAAGGAGATGTGCACCGCGCATTGAAATGTTGCGATGTTGAGCTGCTCCAGAATGCAGCAAGTCGCTCTGCTCTGGTGAGATCGGCAAGCCTTTGCAGACAATCACTCTTGTTGATGGTATCGTTTTTTGGGTTAAGGCTTGGACCTCTTCGGCAGACGCCAGCGGCCAGATGCAGTGCCCTTCGCGAAACTCAGGCTTCAATTGACCCATGCGACGACATGCAGAAATTTGGTAGGTACTGGCAGAATGCTTTGCAGGTCTTCCGAGCTTGCTCCCAAGAATCTGTTTCCAATCCAGTCGCGTGCGCGAAGCGCGACGGTTTAATGGAGATGATAAGAGCCAAGGTGGCACGAAGTAGCGGTGTCAAGCTGGACGCGACGGCGGCCGTGACGGTGGCTCATTCCACGGCTCGTGGTTCTTGAGAGCTGGGAGTGGCACCCTTCAGGCGGAGCGTGCCTGCCTCGCTGCTGAAGAGTGGATCAGGACGGGCCTAGCGGCCTCGCCCTCCCCATCCTTCTCCAAAGTCAATTTGCTGGGCTGTGGACCTTGCTGCAGATCTGTGGAGATTCTGGCGGGCCAGCGCTCATACCTCGGTTACCTCAGACGTACTTGTACTTCAGAGGAGAGATAGCGGAGCGAACTCCGCGCTAAGGCCACATGCGCCTTTCCGGGGACACTGTCGGTCATGCCGTTTCTGTGTGCGGCCCAGTCCTTTGAATTTGCTCCGATGTCATGCAAATCCGAACCTCTCAGGTGGAGGCATGCTGTGTTGGCAGCTGCTGGGACCAGGCAAGCAGCAGCATGTTGCCTGGTCTTTGTGAACAAGCTTCTGAGCGGATCCGGCGACGTCATCGCAGGCTTTGGTTTTGGTTGTCTCGCAGAGAGATCAGACATCATCCGCTGCGCCTGGCCCAGTGTTGTTCTGATTGACAATTTTTGAGTCTGAGTGCCAGACAGTGCATGCAGCTTGCCAACATATTTCGATGATTCGCACAGCATGCAGTCTCAGTCTTTTTTCCTTGCTGGCAGCCTCCGGAAAAAGTGCTCGTCAGCAAAGGAAGAGTATGCAGATGTTTCGCCAGCCGTCCCCAGGCTCTGAACTCCTTCGTCAGCAGCTGCACTTCAGCAGGTGCCCCTCTTGTGAAATCCAAGAACTCCAAACGGTAAGTTGCCGGGCAAGTTCTAAATGTCAGTGCACGCTGGTCCAAGATTTGGTGGCTTGTGAGCCAGAGTCCAAAGCCCAGAGTCCGTACGACAAGCAAAAGTATCCAAAATAGCGTGTTCAAGACTCCCAAATGGCAGGCGCCTGGCAGCAAGCGGTTGAGGCTTTGAGCTTTGCGCCTAGCACGGAAGAGGCCGGCAAGGCTTAGACAAGCACACGGAGGATTTGACCCACAAGGCTTCCTGAAAGGCTCTTTAAAATTCGAAGGAAGTTCAGGGCTCAGGGAGTTCATGGGAAGGTACTACCGCGCTTGTTCCGACAGCTCGGGCATCTGGGGTGGAGTTTTGAGCAACACAGCCAGTGAGTTCCGCCAGGATGCAGTTTTCGGTTGGAACGCGGCATTGATGGCTTGCGTTAGCGCCGGCAAGTGGGACAAGGCCAACTGCTCTGGAGTTGGGAGCTCTCATGGTGCATCCTGCCGGACAGGCTTTGTTGCTGCTCAATGACATGAGTGACAGCCTTGGATTTGCAAAGTATACGCGCAGCGATGGCTGCGGCCCATGGCCAGTGATAACGAAGTCGTGAAGCTCTCTCTGCTGTTGTTGTACCACCCGCCGTCGAATGCTGTTTGCAGGTACAGCTCTGTTGAAGCCAGACGTCATTAGCCTGGCGACGGTCCTCGATGCCCTCCCATCGAAGACAAACCAAGTGAGGCCGAGTGGTGCAATCAACCTACACTCCTTCGTGGCTTCTCGTTCATCGGGAGCTTTCCAACCTGCCCACCCCTTGCAGTCGTTCAGGCTCCTCGAAAGCCTCTCGGCTGTGAGTGTCACATGCTCGGAAAGCCGGCATCTGCTACTGGCAGCTGGGAACTGAGATGGGAAGCACGTCCACCGACAGTGGGAGCAGCTTGAACAAGCTTCGAGACGAGGCACAGGAGCTGGAAGCCCACGGCATGCTGGCCTCCGCAGTGGCGGCCGCGGCGTTTGGTGGCAGTCTTAGAATGTCTTAGAAGGGCGACGTGTTGACGCCCTAGAAGCTGAATGATTGCGCTGGTGGCCGCTGGCATTGTCGGCATCCCCAGACCGAGGTGCCGTACGGCGGTCCTTCGGATCGGTCCTTGGGCTGCGCTGTAAAGGAGAGCGGCTACTGGAGCTCGTGCTGAGCTCCCAGCTTGCCTTCGCCGGAGTCGCAGGAGGGAGCCAGCGAGTCGCTGAAGTTCCAGGTGAGAGTCGGTTGGAGCTCAAGAGTCCTGTCTTAGTCTTTGAGCTCGTGCATTGGACGACTGCCTCGCAACGCCGCCTGCTGAGCAAACCTCTCGATCGACTTTTCGCCATCGCGATGTCGAAGCGCTGCATGTTTCTACCACATGTCGGTGCATGCCAGGGGTGGGCAGCTCTCTCCTGACATGGCGGTTGCTTGAGGAGCCGCCTCCTTACGATGATCTGATCCCGAAGTGTGGACTTGGCAACGTGAAAACCCTATGAAGGCTCCTTGCCAACCTGGATTTCAGAGCTTTGAGCCTCGCTTCTTCGAAGGTACAATCTGTCGTGTGGTGGCCACAGGAGCGTTTTTGCGCGTGAGTTTGTTCGACAGTGTGGCGACTTCGACACGAGCTTGAGTTAAAACCTACTCGCAGCCATTTGAGGCTCTGTAGTTGTCATAGGGCCCGCACGAAGTGCTTCGAGCGGTGAGGCTTCTGCACCAGGCAGGCATGTAAGTTTGGCTAGGGCGGCTCGTTCGGGCAGGTAATGCCAAGAAGTTCGTCGTGGTGACCAGAAGGCCGGGGTCTTCGAAGACCGTAACTTGGGCACCTCTTGGCCGCTCCAGGTTTGCAAGTTCCAGAGGTCTGGTCTAGACGTGACGCGAGGCAGGGGCAATGGCGCACTTCTTCCTGATGCAAGGCAAGATGGATGAGGCCAGGCGGTCCAGCCGTGGCCATCAGCTGTGCCTTTCCGGAACGATAGCCTTGATAGCCTTGTCCTGAAGAGGTCGCGAAGAAGTTCTTTGCCGTCACGCAGGAGGCGAATGATGCCCTTCCATCTGAGGCGCTGGGCTTGGCCTCAAAGAAACACAAACGAACATCAACGACGGCCTGCTGTATTTGCGAGGTGGCAGCCGTCACAAAGATTCAGTCCGTGCACCGAGCCTCGCAGATCCGGAGCGTCTACCATGCAGTGGTGGCTGCTGTCGCCTGGCCCATTCCGGGATGGCTGCTGTCAGTCCGTATCGAGCACGAGCTTGAGCCTCGCGTTTTTTAGCAAGGCGCTCCTCATCCAGCGGATGATCCGCGGATGTCTGGGAAGGAGACGAGCCAAGTCTTTGAGCATTGAGCGTGGCCAGGATGCAGAGAGACCCAAACCAGTGAGTGGGGGCTCCCCATGACAGCACACCCTAATAGACCAGAGTAGTCCTCCTTTGAGGCTCTTTTGGTCCTTGTGGGCTGCGGCCTGCCCCTCCTCTGTTCCCAATCTCTGCGTTTGGGGTCCTACCTTTTTAGGCTACTACGGTCCTCGTGTTAGGCTCCTCACTCTCCAGATTACTTTGACTCTGACCAGATGCCGTGCCAATGCAAGCCCGAGGTACAAACAAGCTACAGCTACACTTCTTCCACCACTGTGCATGGTGCTGAGATGTCTTTCTCTGCTGCTAGCTGCTGGCGGATAATGGCGGACACAAAGCCAAGGCTGCCATGATCCAACGCCTTTGGCGTGGGTGGTGGAGCCGATTGCATGTGCACGATTTCTACATGCGCAGAGATTATCTCGTCAAGGCTAGGCACACATTCCCAAGAGCCCCCGGTGGGCTCCAAAAGTGAGTGTGCTGAGCAGGTGGAGCAGCGAGGGCAGTGGACGCAGGACTTCCTGGCATCGGAGCACAAGGACGGATTGAGCACAGTGGGGGGGGGGGGGGGGACCCCACCAAAAGATGCCACCGAGGAGAAGCTTCAGGTCGCCAAGATGGAGGAGGAGTTGAAGGTCCGTCAAGAGCTCCTCGGAGCGTCGTTAGTAAGAGAAGGTTTGACATGCGGGGTTTGCAGACATTGCTTCGATGCTAGCATGACTTTCGTGACTCATTCCTGCCATGGGCAAGGTTTGACACTCTTGCAGGTGATCTGCCTCTCAGCTGAAACGTGTGATTTATGTGCATGCTTGTCCGAAGCACTTGCGGATTCCAGATTTGTGCTGCTTGGATCCGTAAGCCTGCGAGGCATCACCTCATGAGCACGAGAAGTATCCCAGGCCATGCGAAACGAAACACTTGCCAGCGACTCGCGCAGCCCGGCTGAGTCAGGAGTGTACAATCCACCCTACAGCGACCTTCTGCCCAAAGCTTTCGAGAAGCCTATAGAAGACCACCTCCGCGATGCGTGTCGGGCGACTCGGCCGCAGACTCGACCCGGAAGCCGTCAAAAGCCAGCGGCTGGAGTTCTCCCTGCAGGTGCAGCTGCCGATGGCGATGCGAAGGCCGCCTTCGCCCACCTGGAAACCGTGTTGGGTGCGAGAGTGTACAGGAAGAGCACAGCAATTCAGGCTCATGGTTAAGCTCGAGACTTCCAGGCATTAGCTTTACTAGACTAGATGGTCAGGGGCAGAATGTGCTCCTGTCGGGTCTGTTACGAGAGCCCGATTCACAACGTCGAAGTGTATGGCGGCTGCAGGGCAGCTGGCTCGGAGCCTGGCGACTTAGCCCCGAAAGTGAGCACCGAGCGGCAGAGCGGCCACCAAATGCGTAGTCATGAGAGTCGCGAGGGGGATAGTCATGAGAGTCGCGAGGGGGATTGGCGAGAATTTCGATTTAGACTGTCTCAGGAGAAAGTGCGGTGTATCATTGTCTAGTCTGAAAATTCTGTGTGGCATTGTCTAGTCCAATCGGTGTTGGCAGCTGCTGAAAGTAGCACTAGCAGTGGCAGGCCTCGGCACACGAACTTGCCGTCGCCACGGGGATCCACGAACTATGGCTCATCACAGGCCCTTGCCATGCTAGCGATGCCGAAGTACACATTGGTGCTGTGCGATATGCTTTCGCTGTTCCATGTGCAGGCGGAGAGGCTTGGCTACGACTTGTCGGCTCCTCCCCAGGATCTGCCGGAGCGAGCTCCCCATTACTCCCGTACGGCCAGCACTGGTTGGGGGCTCGCTGGGTCCGGCTTCCGCTTCCTCCTGATTGCGGCATGTCGTGCTCCAAATCTTCAGGTCGCTTGCGCAAGATTCAGGGGCCGTTCAGGTCCAAAGAACAGATTGAGGTGGCCAGGAGCCCAGACAGATGCAGACAGCAATTGCCATGCAAACCTGGGAGATTCAGGCGAATATCAAAGCTGCCAACACATACAGCTCTCGAGCTGCATTAACGCAATAAAAAGGGCTAGCGCCACATGAGGCATCGTGAGGCGAGAGCTTCCGCTCGAGCTTGTGAGGAAGCATTCAAGCCTCTTCCGCATACGACGCAGTGGAGGACGACCGACGAATGCAGGCTCCAAAGCCTTCTGTTTGTTGCTCTAGTTACGAAGTACCGGAGGTGCAACCGTTGCACTGTACAGGAGAGGATTTCAAAGTTGACACGATCCTCTCCGGTGGACTTCGCAGCTCCTGGCCGCGTCAAAGAGAGGCAGAACCCTGTTAGCGTACATGTGCGCGGCTCCCAGCGTATTGTCTGACCTGTCTGCCATGCACATATCGCAAAGTGGCAGCCGTAAGTGCTGAAGCCCAAGGGGACTTCCATACAAAGACCGCCCACTCAGCCTCCGGGGCGATTATGTAGAGCTGCCAAAGATCCGGGCTCGAAGCTAAGTGCCGCAAGCTGTTTTGACAGTATCAGATGTGCACTGTGTATCCACTGCCTTTTTACTGCTTGGAAAGGACAAGCCACCGTTCTTCGCTGCACTCGGGCCGGGCAAGCAGTTCACGGACTACGACGAACAGCCCTTGCAGCTCGCACAAGAGTCTCCAACAAGAGCATGCCAGACTTTTGTTAGTGCGACGGGCTTCATCGAAGGATGCTACCCAATTTGGGGATTGGTAAAACAATTGAGCAATTAGTTCGGTAGTGCTCATCTGAGCCGAACAGCCGGAGTACACAACATGGAACGCGATAAAGATTTTACTGGGACGACCATGGCAAACATGCCGTCAAATGACCTGATGGGTGTTTTGCGGAATGAACTTGAACAGCTCGGCGCATGCCTTTGGCAGTTGTGGCAGTTGCCCATGCCATGCAAGGCTCCCGCACGGCCATGTTTGAGCAGAAGGTTCGTTTTGGGATCCAGACCGGTCTGAAGCAGTTTCACCAGTGGGAAAGAGTGTCCTGCAGACAGGCAGGGTGCTTCAATTTTGGAGCTTGCTATCCACAGCTCTCAATCGAGGAACTGCAGGACTACTCAGCACGCATATGGTCCCGCAAACCGTGCTTCGTAAAGGCATTCCTCGCTGTGCAAGCTTTCGGGGTGTAGAATAGTGAATTGTGCACAGATTTGAAAATTCGGTACCCGCCAGACTACAAGTAGCTGGCTTGCAAGACATGGCCTTGCCTTATGCCAGGGTGGAGATACTGCATTTATAGACTTGAGACCCCATGGATTCGGGAGGAGAGAGGGGAGGGGTTTGGAATGTGGGAGTGTCTTCTTGCAGAGCGTCCATCTCCAGCCTTGTCCGAACTCCCCCGTGGAAAGCCACTCTAAGAGGGGCGAAAGGTGTTTTCCCTTTCATGCTGCACTCCAAACGGATGCAGATGCTTTTTTGCATGCCGGGAACGGCGTTTCACTGAAACATTTCCAGACATCTTTGCCGCGAGACGCTCCGTGTGATGAAGGGCTGTCATGAGTAGGCCAGAGACAGGTCCATGCGGGCACCGCTTAGCTTCCAGGAGAGAAGGAAGCACCTGGATGAGCTGCGCCCGGCAAGGCCGGGCGCTTTTGCACAAGGACACGACCGAGCAAGCCCCGCTTCGAAGCCTTCGTTGCACCATGTAGTAGCAGTGTTGTACTGTTGTACCACTGTTTCAAGATTTGCCACGAAAGGCACCCGTCGGCAAATGGCGTCTGCCAACACAGTTCTCCTGGACCACGTCTTGCTGGTGAATGCCGGCAGCTGACGGCAGCATGCAGGGGGGTTTAAGCCATGTCCGGGAGCAGGCAGGGAGGACACTGGCTCAAGCATGTGAGCCAGCATGCGCAGGAGGTTTGTTCATTTTGTTCTCTTCAAGCAGGCAGAGGCTTGCCTTGATGCGAATACTGTACCCGCTGAGCTTAGACTTTGCACACCTACCTTTCTTGAGAAAGCTTACATTTACATGGCATGGATCTCGGCTACGCAGCGGACCCCGCTGTCCAGCCTCTTGTCGCAAAAGGCCGGGCAGATCGAGAGCCTTCGCCGTCAACTCGAGGCGGAGGCTGCGGAGGCCCCGGAGGTGGACGATGTCTGGCTTTTGCGCTACGTGCTGAGCTTCGAATCTCGGCCCGCGGAAGCCGCCACTGCTGCTCGGAAAGCACTGCAGTGGCAACATGATCACGGGGAGCTTATACAAGCAGCGAAGATGCGCAGACTACCGCCCGGCCTGACCATGGAAGACGTACAGGCACTTCAATGCATGTTGGTCTCGGGATTCCACTTCACAACTACCTTTGGCGACCCAGTCTTTGTCATTCGGGCTGGTCAGTCGAACCAGAGTCTGTTGTTAGACATGGTCGGTGAAGACAAAGTCGAGCTTTGGCTGACTTACCTCGGCGAGTGCGCGTGGCAGTTTTGCGAGGCTGCAACACGACGCAACGGTTATTTCGTCAAGCAGTTCACATTGCAAGACTTTGCTTCGGCATCCATGTCGCAGGATCGAAGATTCTTCAAAATCTTGGGCAGAAACTCGAAGATGAATGAGTGGTTGAGACCACAGTTTATGGGGAGAGCAATTTTCTTCAACACGCCAACGTGGATGAGCCTCGCATTTGCCATTGCAGCCAAATTGGTCAGCCAAAAGTTTCTGTCAAAGATTTGGGTACATCGTCAAAGCGTGGGACTGCAACAGCAAGGGGCAAACATGTGCCCATATGCACAGCAACTTCTCAGCGCAGACCATCTCCCGACTTTTCTCGGAGGGACCTGTGCTTGTCAAGAGCACGGAGGCTGTGTGAACGGGATGCTGAACAGCAACTTTGGGAAGCACTCCGCAGATGATGTTGTTAGCAGTCCTCGCATAATCTTGCCACTACTGCGGTTGCCGCGCAGTGAGGACGTTGAAAAGTCACCACACAGAAAACCACCGGCTCCGACTCCACAAGAGGGTGGCTCCGGTGGGGCCGACGTTGTCACGGTTTCTTGCTGGAGGCGCTGCTGCTTGAGGCGACGACCCCTGGCAGCCAGTGCTGATCGTGCAGGCGTATAGCAGCCTAAAGAAGGGCAGCTGGCACTGCAGTTCACAGCGGTCTCACTGCGTGGGAGCATCGCGTAGGCTGTGAAAAATGTCAGCCATGCAAGGTCGCATGAGCAATCGGCATGAGCAACTGCTTTTCCGTCTCCTTTCATGCAGGCAGCACTAGCAAGCAGATTCCTTGCATCCGCTGCGGCTGGAGCCTATGGCGTGAGTAGAGCGCTGCCCTGCAGCCGTTGTATCCCCACCAGATTATTCGCTTGCAGTGTTATCGTGACATGTTGGGCCGCCTGATTGCAGACAGATGCAGTTTTCGGTCTGTGGGCTTGGGTTATCTTGATGCCACAAGATGCTGTACAACATTGGCTGTGGTGATGTTGGCATATTCTGAGGTCTGCACGAGCAGAACTTTGACGAATGCAATGCCCCTGATGTGTACCCAAACCGAGTGGCTTGCTCAGTTGACATGATTTGATCATGCCCTTTGCATGCCAAACTTTCAGAAGTTGCCATCAGTGGCCCTAGCTTGCCTCCTGCCTAGTAAGGGCATCGATACCTTCGTGCACAGCAGGGAGGAAAGCCCAGGATGGGGGTGGGGAGAGATGGGAGATGATGGGAGTTTAGCTATGCCGCTCATTGCCGCGCAAGAGAAAGTCAGCCTGCATTCGGAGAGGATCTCCCTGGCTTCTCCGTCGGATGAATCGAGAGCAAAACGCCAAGAGGACATCCCCTGGCTTCAAATTCCTGAAGCTCCTGAAACAAGTGGGTGGTCAGGTGCCTTGCCCACGGAGACATTGTGTAAAGTCGTCCCTGCATTAGCACTGCAAGCGGCCCCGTTTCGTGGTTCGCAGTCCGTCAGGTGCTGAACAACCAGGCCACAACGGGGTGCAGTCAGAGACGCGGTAGCCTATGACCCGCTTATGGCAGCAACGTACCAAGTAGCATACTCCAGTTCACGACGTGGTGGAAGATACCGTGACCCACAGGAGTTCGACGACGATTTGGAAGCCCAACTCCGTGATGAGATGGGCTTCCCGGCTTCAGAGGCCTTCTGAAGTAATGCAGTCGCTCCGGATAAAGGACCTCAGCCCACAACGCGGAAGCATCAAGACTTCGAAGCAATTGCACGCGGCTCGGACTTTTTTTTCTAAGGTCAACCGGCGATGGGGAGTTGTGTTCCTGGCGCTGCATCCAGGAGGTTGAGGTGTAAATGTGACGCTGTAGCTAGGTTAGCCAGGTTTTCCCACAGGCTCGCGTCAGTCTGAGGCCATGCGCTCCTGGTCCGGATCGACGGAAGACTCTGAGACCGGCCTCAAGGCCGGCAACGGATGGCAACTGCTCCGAAACAGACATCCAGTTCCAGACCTGAACTCGAGTCATGCCGTGGCAGGGGTGGCGCCGTCGCTTCCTGATTGGGGCCCTATTCCTTACAGTGGTGGCGCTACTTCTGATGATCGTGTATGCTGCTGGGGCATCGAACCGTCTGAACCTGGTGAACGACTTACGCAATGCGGCAGCTTGGCTCAAACACTTGGGTTTTCAACCCACAACAAACTGCAAGCTCAGCACCTCGCTCACTTGCATCGAGCTTAGGTCACACATGGAGGTCCCCCGCTGCCTGGTCGCAAGTGCGCTTCAGCAACTGCATTCCAGTGCTCTCTTTCATCATGGTTCGTCATTTGTGTTTGTGAATGCATGTGCGTCACTACATACGGATCTTGCTTGAAGTTGTATGGTAGGTCATGTCGTATGAGAGTTGTTCTAAAACCCCGGCTCTTGACCGTAGACTTTAAAATAGGTCTAGGACCTGCTACAAAACCAGCACGATGCAAGCGCGCGCAAGGGCGAGTGCAAGGGCGATAAG